GCTCTGTTCTGCGACTCCGATTCGCTCTTGCTTGATTGGCTGCGTCTGGCTGTAACCCACCATATTCATCGATCGAGCCAATTGGTCATGCGAGCTTACCAAGCGACTCTCGCTCACGCGTGCAGGCGTTGCTGCTGGACTAGCGGCGGACAATCGATCGCGCGGCCTCATGCCTGTTCGTTCCGAGTGCGTAGGCGAATACCAACAGCTGCCATCACCGTGCTCACACCACACCCCTGTTTTTTTCATTTTGGGCTCTTCGATGTTGAAATTTCTTATGCTCTTTCGCTGCGTGTCCTCTTTCCGTCTTCTCCGTCACCTCTGCTTTCTTGCTGGTTTTGACGCTCATCTGTCGTCACACTCCTCGGCGGATGTCGTCTTACGTGAATACAGTTTCACCTGTCCAAATCGTTTCCCACATTGACTACATAAATTCTTTCTCCTACCTGCGTTTCCACTACTCATCTCCTCCACTGTTTTTCTGCTCTTGGCACCAGTTGTATCTTTACCTCTTCGCCGACCCGAAGTGGTGGTAACTCTTTAGGGTCGCAATCATAATACCGTTTCTGCGTAAGCATTCGTTTTTCCAAACAGTCACGAATCATCGCGGGGAATTGTGCTTCCGGTTGGGGCAAAATTTTGGCCACGGGCAACAAAGTTCTCGTTCTATGGCTAAATAAACGTTGAACAGAGCTCACTCCGATTTCCGGAGACGGGGTGTTTCTTCGTTCCAGAAGCATGGCATACGAGTCCTCGTTCAGCTCTTCAGTTTTGGTTAGTATTCACTTTGCATCCTTCACCGCTGCTTCAGCCTTTCCATTCGACTGGCTGTGGTATGAGCTGGTGAGGCAATGATCGAATTCCCACTTCTTACTTTAAGCTCGGAACTCCTCAACAGTAAACTGCAGTCCGTTGTCTGGTACTACTTCCTCAGGGATTCCATGTGGAGCAAAATGCCCTTGCAGCTCGTGTACCATCGCATGAGCACTGCTCGAGGGCAATGTATCAATCTCAAACTAGTCAATGAAGTAATCTACCGTAATAAGCTAATCCTTTCCGTCATGTGTGAATAGGTCCACTGCCACCTTCTGCCACGGCCTTTCCGGAACCTCTCGAATCACCATTGGTTCTTTCTTTTGTCCATCGTCATGTGCACGACAAGTTGGGCAGTTCGACATGTAGTCCTGAATCTGACTATTCATTACAGGCCAAAGTATCAGCTGTGGCTCGTGTGACGCAATTATTCAAGCCCAATTGTGCACCATGAACCATCTTCAGCATGGTGCATTGCATGGTCTTTGAGAGTAACGTTCGCTTTCCTTTGAAAATGAAACCGTCTTCTACAGCGAGTTCATCACGAAAAGATAAAAGGGTTTTAGTTCCGCGGACAAACTCCTCTGGCTATAATCTATTGTTAGTTCTAAACGTTTGCGAACTGCATCTTCGTCTGTGCAGCGTCTCAGTTGTTGTAAATGCTCTCCAGTGATAGCGAGTTGCTGTGTCGCTTCAACCTTGTCGAGGTTCTTTTGTACTGCACCCACATTCTAAAGATGGGCCCTTGACCACGCCTCTGCGATGTACATTTGTGTTCCAGCTGGTAGACGATCTCAAAGTCGTATTTAAGGAGGCGGATGAGCATTCTCTGGAGACGACAAGGCACATTGAGCGGTTTTTTGACGATTGAAACCAATGACTTGTGCTCCGTATACAGTGGTCTCTCACCCAGAAGTTGTAGCCTTCGACCGCCTACGTGGTTGGGAGCATCTCCTCCATTTGTGCGTAACTTCGTTTGGCCGATGTCAGACTCAGACTTCGAAAATCTAGAGTTTTTCCGTTTTGCATTAACACCGCTACAATTCCATGCTGGCTGCTATCGCACTGTATCTTGAGAGGCAGAGATGGATCAAAGTAAGCTAGTACTGGAGCATTTGCGATCAGATATTTTAGTCGATTGAAGGCTTTCTCTTGTTTGATGTCCCAGTGCCAGTCTTCTCCTTTGTGCGTCAGTTTGCGTATAGGCGTCATTATTTCTGCCATTTTTGGTGAAAAGCGACTTAGGTATTTGACCATTCCGTTTAAGCGAATGACTCCCTTCACATCAATGACCAGTGGCATTTCTGTTATTGCCCTGATCCTTTCTGGATCAGCTTTCAATCCATCGGAGCTCAAAACGTGTCCGTGAAATACCACCTCTGTTTTACAAAGTTCCACTTTGTCACGTTTCAATTTAATGTTTCTTTCAGCGTATTTTTGGAGAAACCGATGGAGATTGCGGTCGTGCTCTCCTAGAATGGTGCCGAATATCGGCACGTCGTCAGCCACATAAATGGCTCCTGACAAATGTTCTAGAGTTTGGAATAGGTGTTTTTGGAATATTCTACTGAAGTCTTTCAAACCGAATGGTAATCGTAGCCACCGGAATCTCCCGACCGGTGTGCCGAACCTCGTCAGATAGCTCGATTCGTCATTCAACACGACATCCCAAAAATGCGGAAGCCAGATCAACCTTTGTGAAAAATTTTGCCGTTGATAGAACTGGCAATATATCGTCTAATGTTGGTAGACTGTAGTTCCCCCTTCTAAGGGCTGTGTTAAGGGCGGCTAAGCTCTTCCAAAAGCTGGATCTTTAGACTTCAATTTCCACACATTTTCTATTGTCTCTAATGCAGATGTGTGATGATCGTTGCGTTTTACAGTGCCCGTAAATGTTTACTACGAAGTAAACATCCACCACTTCGACCAATCGTGCTGGTGTTGCAACACGGACACACTGCAGATACTCCAATATCATCATGTCATGCGCTATTCACGAAGAGTTTAAGTTAGGACAAAACCGGTCGTGGTGTGCAAGGTTGAGATCGAGCAGCACTGAAATTCTTCATGTAAACAATTACTATTGTAACCATCGCTCTAGCTGAATGCACTGTCTGGTTGGTATGTTGTGAACACAGGGTTTCGCTGTTGCTTCAGTATTGTTTTGCCATACTCATCGGGTTGACCACTGGTATTATCAGGATGGATGAACCTTCTACCGAGTATCACCAGAGGCATCTGTCTCTAGTGAATGAGACGGTTGCCAGCTCTGCACAATGATTATCTTGTGGAAGATAGGTGATCCACTCACATTTTTTCCTTCAGCAACTGGTGTTATTTGTAATGATTTTTTGAGCGATCTAGTGCTTTCTGCTCATCTTCCGCCCACCTAAACCTTTGTCCGTTATCTCCATAAACCATTAAACTAGCACCACATTGCAAGACAAACTACGTAAGCGCTCACATTATAGGATCTGTGATCACTACACGTGTTGTTCCATATGATACTGCTCTCCTTGAAGAATAAACATATCCAAAACAAGGAGTTGTACCCGAACGTAACGCATGAGATGACATCATCAGCTCTTGCGTTCTTACTAATCACACACGTGCAGCCAATAATATGCTCAAGAGTGACAAACTCTAGCTTCCTACGGAAATGTTGAGGGACATACTTTTAGGAAAAAGTATTTGGCCAGACAAGTGATGTGCTTGGTTATCCGCTGGGTCCGTTGTTAGCAGCGTATCCATGCATATAATTGATGGGATAGCGGATGACCACATCTTGCTGATATACTTGCTGGTCATGAGTTCAGATGGCGATATTGCATATGCAACCATGGCTCTCAGCAGTATGCACCCACATCTCACCGTGATGTGTGCGATGAACACGACGGTCATCTCCCACTCATGACGACTGGATGGATGCCTCTAAAAATCAGTTTGTCGGAAAGTGACTATATGAACCAGTACCTTTATTTCAGGAGCTTTTCGTCAATGCAACAAAAGGCTTATTATTTTATTCCGTGGGACCCTCATGATTAACGCTTTAGACGCGCTGGAAGCGAACGAAAACCTTTGAAGCGATACAACCAGATGCTGAGGACTATTGTAATCCATCAAGCGCTTCAATAAGAAGTCGAAGAGATATTGGTCCAAAGGAAGTTAGTTCTTATTGAATAGTTGTTCAAAAATGAGCATAATGAAACGAGTTAGCGCTTCATTGAAAAGAAATTTAACGTAGATGAACTGTGGTTGCTCGTGTCAACGATTGCACTTTCCATTATTTATTCAAACCCACCTGCAGTTGCTGAGGTGGCTACATTGGGCACTGACCGAGTCAGGGTATCCTGACCAACGAAGAAATCCCAAAGTGGTCACGGAATTGAGTGACATCTTTCGGGGTTAGGGCACGTGATTCGAGAAGTAGGAGTGCCCCAGCAACTCCGAGGCACCAGTCAACGGGTTAACTCTGATGCAGAATCCGTGTCCACGCTCTCCGTGAATAAGTGATGCATAGTGACACTTAACTTTCCATGATATCGCGAAGCGTCCCCTTGATCAACGCAACATTGATCAGACCACATAGTTGGACTGTGCCTCGCATCGCCGAGGAAATACCATTTATTTATTTATTCAGCGAATAATCTCACGCGACATTGTCCATCTTGTGGCTATTATCGGCTACATGTGTGAGCCTAATGAGAATGCGTAAATTAGCGGTGTCATTTCACGGCCTGCGTCTTCTGATATCCTTATTTTAGGGAAAATATTCAACTATAACACTCCCGCTGTTCGCCTTCGCTCGGTCAGCAGTGATACAAAACAGTTGAGTCACACTGCTATAAACGGCGTTTAAAGTCCCTGAAAACTAGTTGGTATCAACTTCGCCGCCTTCATTTATTCTGGTTTTATTGACAATTTAAGTTATAGAAACCTTCGGTCACCGGACTTCGTGGATTAAACCACAGTTGACCGACTAGAATAAGCTGAACTATAGTCCGCTCTAGTGCCACTATATGTTGCAAGGTTTAACACTATTGTTTGGTACAACAAGTCGTGATGAGCAATGACACCTTTTGCGTTTTCATCAATTAGAACAGGTATGGAGAAGAGCATTCTGTTTGGACCACGCTGCCTGCTTCGCTATTCCGATGTTCACATTTTGTATTTTAACTCAATTCCAGCAAACACAAAAACTTAGTTTTGCTCAAAGTCTCCGAGTCGGGCGAAAAACATGCGATCGGCGGAATCTCATTTCGTATGTTTCCTCCGCAGGGCTTTACAGAAATCGTCTTTTGTGCTGTCATCTTCAATGAACAAGTTAAAGTAAGTTCACCCCTTACAATTCCGCTCTTCCACATGACTGTTATAGACCCACTTGGTTCGACGAACGCAGTGGCTTTAGTTCACGTCGAGTATATGATTGTGCAATTCTACCGGATTACACCCACCCCATCCCCCTGCGGAACCTCGCCATCGCCTAGACCATAAGCAGAAACTCTGACAATTGGGTGACACCCACGCGAGACGTACGGACGGACGAGGCCTCAAGACCTCACCACATGCCATAAAGTGAAAGATAGGCATGATCGCTTTTACTAACTGAGCAATAGGCAACAGGTCGAGACATTTTATTTATCACACATGACTCACCATCGCTGGCATTAGTTTTGGCGATACTTGGTTGCTTAGGAAAACCTGCTGCGTTGTGGTTTGGAAGTTGTCTGGTCACGTTGTGTGCGCCACGCGGCGTGGCTCTTTGATTGCTCATGCGAGTATTGAACTCTGTTTTGCAGCTACGTAATATTACGGAATCACTTGACGTTCCCGCAACAAACGCTATTTGCTTTATTTCGTTAAATTAGTGTAACACTGCTACTTAAAGTGATGCAGAGGTTTTCATGTTTCTTTTACTCATTAGGCAACACTTAGAGGTACATCACTAGCACTTAACGACTAACTTCTTAGGAGCCAGTTAGATTATGGTTTGTTGGGGGGGAGTATAGCCAGGGCAATCTCTCGATTTCTTAGGTTTTTTGGTCGGAGTTGTCACTGGACCCCCGATTGAGGCACTTTACAGCATCACAAACCTCGGCCACCAGACGAATTTACCTATCGCCTACAATTTCTTACTTTCAAACATGATTCACTAAAACTCCTCTTAGTGTGACATACCTGCTTTAATGCCTTATCAGGCCTCATCACCTTGAACGAACTTGTGCGCTAATCGCGCATTTGTGCACGCATTGTTTTTCTGCTGTTTTTCAGCTGCATTTTGTCACACATGCATGCGTTTACACTCATACGATCAAGATTCATCGGCACTGTCTAGTGCATTCCATTTTTCGCATCTGGCTTGTGTGTATCACATTTTATCTCCACATCGCGGCTTACGCACCGTTCCCGCAGAAACAGTCGTGAAATTTTCCAGTTCACGAACCCTACAGCAACATTTGTCGTCTCAAACGAAGCTAACTCCGCGTTTTATTTGACGAGTCATCATTCACAGCTATTGGCCGTTACTCAATGTAACTCTCGTACAGTTTGTATCCGTATCGCTCAGTCGCTTTGTTTCCCGAGCGAACGATCTAGCCGCTTAAACCTGCCCCACCAGGGCTAGACGCACGGAACGGGACGACCTTGAACATGCGGACAGTTCAGCGCACACGCGACCCGCAGGGAACCATACCCGCTGGGGCATTTATCGGAATAGCGTCCATTGACGCAGTGGATTGTAACGATCAATCAAAAGCCCGTGTTACGGCATCCGGGTCGACAGCAGTATGTGGCTTTCCTTCATTCCATAACAATGTACGAACTGGAATCCTGAGTTCCAACTACCTCAACAAGTTTCATTCTAATTGTTCCAAGCTCATACATACACAATAGCCAACCTAATTCCCACTGGTAAAGATTGTACATGAACTATCGCAGAAACACGAAAGACTGGTGACGATAATTGAACAAATGAGGAATAACAATGTCGATTCATTTGAAGAAAGCGCAACAGAGAGCAAAACCCCAGTCACTCCCATTAGGCTCCGCATCTAAACTGTGGAAGAAGGCTGGATAGCGCTTTAGACATGCGTCGCCTGTCGCTTTAAACATCAATATCACCAATTTCCCAGATACACCTGAAACAACCATCGCCAGTCCGATTGGAATATGTACAGTCAGGGCCTCGTCCACTTTTCCTAAATTTCAGAAGGACGTCGACATCACCGGTGGTTAGAAGTTGCTTGTTGCCAAAAGCAACCGGAAACTATGACCTTTGGCCACTCCCACTGGGTCCAAATTAAATGAAGGGGATAAATCTGTACTTACACAGCCTCCACCGGTTGTATGCAGATAAGCTGAACGGTTGACCTCAACCCGAGTTGCACATATTATTCCAGCGATAATTTACACCTACGTTCCAGAATCGACGTCAAATCTCATAAAGGATGTGAACCAGTGGAATTCCATATGTGACATCTTAGGTGTTGTAGCTAAGCCCGTCAAGTTGGCACGCGTTACCCGTCACCCATACTCCCAGCACTACGGTGCTCCGAGACTACTCCGAGCTGTGTTGACTTCCGCTGATGAAACAGTAGCTGTCCTGTCATCGACAATTCGTTACCAGAATAGGTTATGCTCCATCCGCATCCTCCCGGATATTCCGTGGAGCCAGCGCTAAACAGGCGAAGTACGACTTGAAACAATACCGGAAAGAATCCGTAGCCGGGATCATCCTTGTACAGATGTTCCCGAAGCTGGATGTCATGATGAACATGAAACGACCACTGACGACCAGGAACATTGGTGATACATACATGTGACCCTCTCCCTGGAAAATGTCATCGCGCAATTGCTCTCGAGGTTGCACACGTCGCCAGACTACGACAGATGTGGTCCGAGGATTGTGAAAGTGGTCCTTCAATCTAGACAATGGAGTGCTGATACGCGAGACGCAGTGGCCTTCCTTCCGAGCTTCGGATTCAAGCAGCATCCACTAACAAACACACCAGAGCAGTCAACTAGTCGGACCACTTCCCGACAACAGTTCGGACAACTCCACTCAGCTATCCAACGAACTGGTTATCATACCCCGTACATTACATACAAAGAGAGAAGCAAAGTGGTCATGGCGGGAACATTTTATAGTGTTGCTCAACCCAACACTGGCACCCCAAGACCGCGGTTTCGTCCTGGTTGGGATTCATCAGTTGGAGATAGCCTGAGTTGGGCTGGAACTCAGAGCCTAGTGGCTCATGGTTGACACCATGAGCACTATGCCACTGAGATCCGCGAGCAACGCTTGGTACAGCGGAAACAAATTCAAAGGTGGACTTGGAGAATCCGCTGGTGCTTGGGTTGCTACAAGCAACCTCTATTATGGCGGGATCCATGGATCTGCCGCAAATGAGTTCATCATCGCTCCACCTGAAAAGCGATTACTGGCTGACCTTTCACCGGTCGGGACAACATTATTCTCAAAACACGTATCCCCAAATTCATTGCTAAGAACTGAGAAACTTTCCTGTATGTACACCTGAACAAGATTGCCGAACTACGGCTATATCAAGCATCATATGTCCGGGATCTCATATTCGTAACGGTAACTTGCTTGCACTCAGAAATTACCGACGCCAAAATCGCCATGCATGGTATGTCCCTTCTCCGAAACAATCACTTCAGCAAGGGTGAGGGTGGGGGTAATATTATACCACCGTAGCGACCTGCAGTGCGAACCGGTGCATGATCCGGAAACCCTGATACTAGATTCACACTGGTGAAGCCTGCGACTGAGACGCAACGACACTTGCCTCTTGGCAGTTGTTTCTCGTCCCCAAATGTCCTACGCAGATGGACTCCTGCCTTACATTAGCTTTGGGAAGGGTCACATGACGACGATATAGCTATGGTTTCATCTCAGACGATCCGGAAGTTCAGGCATACCCAAAGGAGCAATTTAAGGCCGGCCTGCAAGAGTACATTGCAAACATTCCGCTCTCCAGCCATGTCAGCTCACCCACCCGATTCAGAGATGGAAATAAAATGTATGCCTGATTTAGTGCTCACGAACGAAGAACTCATGATTGAGAAACCGAAGATGGAAACCCTTCTGGAGCGGATTGACCAGATAACAATAATTCACCACTTTGTGTGTTATGCGGAATATCCACAAGAATATAGTGACTTGTTTTGGACAATATATTTGGACGATGTATTAACAGAACTTTTTGGAGATGTCAGCTGGGAGTTTCCGGACGATTGTTCCATTGACATTGCTTGGATGGAGTTTGCTGGCAAGTTCAGTGATCTGATTAAACGCGCATTGATAAACAAGCCCCTTCGTTCTGCAAGAGCACAATCATTCATTCGAAGCAGAACCCGAAAACACATGACAGTAACAGACTCAGTGTGACATGTGTAAAGGGCCAACCTTATCTCTGACAACTGGAGCAACTGTGTGTAGTGCATCATACTTACTGTACTACACTTGTCCGTGAGGACAAATTACTGCACCACTGCATAGGTTAGTGGAAAGGTTTTGTGCTAACAGAAAGCTTTTGTACAGACATATCAACAACCTCCGGAATGTGAATCGTGGTGTTCCCCCACTAATACCAGCAGCTGGATGTGCTCAAACCGCCGAGGATGCAGCCAACGTTCTACTTCCACAATATGCTTCAGTTTTCCGACGTGCTACCTTCAGATGTAACACATCTGTTCCCTTCTCCCAGATGCCAGTATTTACACACCTCACTTTTAGTCCAACGGCCATTTCGAAGAAGCTACTATTGTTACGCACTCATAGTTCCCCGTGAGTTAGCAACATCCTCCCGACAGCACTGCACCTAGCAGTTACGAGGATAGCTGAGCCATTAACCCAGTTTTTTCAAAGATGCTTGGATGAACAGCAGGTCCCCAAAATGTGGGAGCAGGGCACATCACTCCGATTTTCAAGACTGGTAGCCGTTCAGAGGCCGCCAACTATCAGGGATTCTCATCCCGGTTCTCAAAATTGATGAAGTCGATCATAGCTGGGGCTCTAATGGGTTACTTTGAAATGTCTAACATCATAACACCGGAGCAACACGGATTCCGTCAGTATCGGTCATGTACTACCGATCTACTGATTACCCGTGGCAGTTGGACCGAGAAAGCCCACAGTGGGACTAGCATTGATTAGCATTAGACTTTACTAAAGCCTTCGACCGCTTAGATCACCGCGTCCTTCTCCAAAGCTGCGAGTGTACGGGATTGAAAACCCAGTTTTGTATGGATCGAAGATTTCTTCCTTCAGCGGCGCCTTCAGGTTCGTGTTCGGCGTTCATTTCCTT